GTGTGTGTGTGTGTGTGTGTGTGTGTGTGTGTGTGTGTGTGTGTGTGTGTGTGTGTGTGTGTGTGTATCCACCCCTCCAACACACAAACAGCTTCACACCTCCCATATAGACACAGTTTGATTCAGAGAGCAGCAGGGAGACAAATGTGTGTGTGTGAAGACCACAGAACATAGGCACTGTCTGAAAATAAATCAGTAGCAAAGGGTCTTGCATAAATCTCACAGAGCTCCACGAAACACATTTTCAATTATGCTACGGTGTCTGGACCTGAGGTTTAGTCTGTTGTTAATCAGAAATATCTGCGACCAAATGGCAAGTACATTTTCTCACAGTAAAGCTGTTGTGGAGGCATTTATGGTCAGTTGATCACTGAAATTTGCTTTAGAGAGGTAAGAAGAGGTAGTTAGGTAAAGAGCCACTAAATTCAAATATTTGGCATCACATTTATCTTGTGCATATGTGGCAACAAGGAATATGATGCCACTGACAGGTATCAAGAATTGTGGAGAATCAGCGCTATGGTATAATAGAGATTTTTTTTTTTGCAAGGATGATGAGACTAGTCACTGTGACAGCAGCGATGCTACTGCATAATGCGACTGTGTGCTGGACCTGTGATGTAGATCGTTGTGACATACTGTAAATGATAATGCAGCTCTACTTCGAAAGCTGCATTCTGAGATGCAAGCTTCATTGGTTGCATTTAATGTTGAATTGGGTGCTGAAGGTGTTTCTTGAGAGTGGGGAGGATGAAACAAGCCAGGTTTCGTTTGGACTCAAAAATATGATTGTTTATTTTTCCCAGGGTGCATCTCTAGGATTGTCTTTGTGGCATTTCTGCTTCCACACATCTGAGGATGGGGAAGAGGGATATAGAGCGCATGAAAGATAAAAGAAGTAGAAAGCTATAGATTCTGCAACATCACAAGCTTCCAGATTGCACCTGAAATATTTAAGTTCATATGGTCTGAGAAAAGTTGTGAACACAAACAGCCTCTGCAAACTGTCATAGATTCAGAAATAATTGCTTGACCTAATTATTAAAACAAGGACACAGCCTCTTTTAATGGCGTGCCAGACATAGGTGGGCAACCTTAAGAAATGTTCTCACAAATTATCTTCTTTTGGCGAAGGAAAGCTCTAGAACCAGACTGTCAAACAACTGCGCCAGTTTCAGCTCAGTCTTTGAAGATTTAGCATGTCGCTGGTTTTTTATGTCATGTTCTAACAAACGGTGCATCCAGAAACTCGTCATTCACATATCAACTCAATAGTTCTATCCGGGGGGGCAGTCTCCACGAATTATGAATTATATCATCAAACAGGATTATCAAATGTTTCTCATTTTCACCCACTTCAAATTCTTTGTATGAAATAATAAATGAACATGGCTCCAAGTGTAAAATAGATAAATAAATTACAACAAAATTATATTTTAAATTTGTATTACGACAAATGTGAAACCCATTAAAGCTGTCTGAATTTGTTTTTTTTATGGCAGTGCAGGTAAGATATGAATATTATCTATAACAAGCCTATTTATTGGTGACAATAAAGTGATTGGCCTGTGTTGCAGCACCCATTAAGAGCCTTTTATCACTGATACAGAAGCAATTACCGTCTATGAAAACAAATGTGTCTTTAGGATTCAGCTCATGCTCGGTCATAAATCTCGTGATTCGCTGTCGATATTGACCCTGTTATCTTGGGCTCAGACAAGGAAAGGAACCAAATGATAGGGTCAGTTGTTTTTCAAGCTTTTCCTCTAACTCGCAGCGCAGCATGGAAGCCCAGGTTGATGTGCAGTGAGGTCCAAGACAATCATGTCGCAGTGAACTGCTTGTCCGCTTGACTAGATTTCTGTCTGTGTTGCCTTGACACAGCCAGGTAGGCACACAAATTGTTCTGAGGCTATCTCCTGGAATCTAAGCCCCTTATCAAAGTGCCAGAAATATCAGGCCATTATGGTGGGAGATTTACAGCACTACTGTAAAATAGTTTCAGTTAATGGGAAGCAACTTAGAAAGTACTTATAAACTGGCTAAAAAACATCCATATTAGAGGGTTTTCAGTTCTGAGATTCTGCCTATCGACCTGTGCTACATGTCATATCCGTAGATGGTAAATTAGTTGGATTATGCTTGTCTGCTTCCTCCCATAAAAAGTGAAGGTAAAATATCCTGGATACAGGTGCCTCCATCTTGTGCCTTTGACATCATTTAGAGCCAGAGTGTGCGCAGTAGTGATTGAAGTGTGGAGCTGTGGTATAGAGATCCCAGAGATACACAACCAATCACCAATCAGTTTTCAATCATGACGTCCCCCCCCAGCATCAAATCCCTAATCAAAACCAAACTTACATACATTTATTAGTTTGAATAGAACTATGTAAAATGAAAGAAAACATTTATGTAACTTGTACTCCAACCTTTTAGTCCATGTCCCATCCATTAACATGTAGGACACACATCCAGCCTCTTGAATAACATTTCATGAAGCCAACCCCCTCCTCTCTAATGGCTGTGCTGGAAGCTGCATTCTGATATGGCTCAGTGTTAATTCTCTAAAAATGTAAATGCATTTAATGCCTAAGGGGCCATGAGACGTATTGATAGTTAACCAGGTGGCTCCGCTTCTGTAAGACATCGATGGCAATTTTGGGAAAGCAAACCAAATCATCTCCCAGTAGTTATTCAGTAACACTGCAATTGTCGCCATCGCATCCCTTTCTATGAAGAATTTCCTTGTCTACCAAGTTCAGGATAATTGGATTCATATTCTGTTGTTCTACTAAACATTACATCATGGTGAGACCTTACTTTACACCACATATACCAGTGCAGATTGATTTAACCTCAACTATAACCATGACTACAGCTTTATTCCATCAGGTCAATGACCACTGAGGAATCATTGTCATTCATTTTGCAATTCTGACACATGAATCACAGAATTTAAACTTTAGAGAGGCAGGGACGCTGTCAGAAAACGAGATAATAAAAAAGCACTTTGAAAATTACCAGATCATCACCAGCTCCTGCCACGGTTGCTAGGCAACCAAGCCCGGCTATTCAATTGTTGAATGTTCCACGGTACCCAGCTGGTCCAGTTATTCCCTTATCGCAGGTACTGTGAAAGGTCCCAGTGCATTGTGGGATACAATTCATCCGAGACTGAATAAAAGCAGTGGTGTCTGCTGTTGTTCAACCATCAGTCACAGTAAATGACTCAACTGTATTATGTTACTGTGGATATGCAATGTTGTGGTGTGGGTGTTGGTGTTTGCACAACCAGTCATGCATGAAGTGAATTAATACATTTGTGCGTTTGTTCTTTTAACCAGGCTGGACGTCTAATTGAATATGCCCTCTGTCCTCAGGCCTTTCAGCAGCAGCCTTCCACTATACACTTGTGTTGAAACACTAGGGCTTAAACAGAGTAGGCTTTAGGCATAAGATGAAAATACACAAAAAGGGACAGTTTTGGTATTGAATGAGGTATAGGTAACGTCTCTTTACTCTAATGTTTGGACTTGGAATGAGATCTGTTTGCATGATCCATTTAGTCATTTCTCTGATACACAATGCCTTCTTTGTTCAGTTAGTTATTACAGCCATTATTTTCCATGCTGTTTTATAGTTCTTATTACGGCTTGTTGAGTTTTCTTGCCTTGTTCTTGACTTGTGCCCTCCATTACTCTAGCTGCTGTTGGAAAACAATTAGAAATCCACTCATTTTCCTCATCATTTCCTTCCTAAAGAGGTTCATGAATTGGCTTTTGTGTACATGAAGATGTGCTATACGAATGTTATGTCTGTCTGTATTTTAAACAATGTGTAGGGAAGAATGTCGTTGGTACAGGCATGGTCATGGTGACTCCATTTCCAACTCTTGGATCATCACCACAGTATTGAAAAAATGATCGGTAGCTTTTATTGATTAGGA